GCTGGAGATTTCACTAGTCACAGACTATCAGGCTACCCTTATTGTATAGCCCTGCACTTGTATGAACTGATTTCCCCTATGGTACATATCATCATGTCAGTAACAAAGCAAGTGGAAAAAAGTCCAATAATATCTTGATTTTCTGGCAAATAGTACAATTCAAATAAAACTTTTCGCCTTCTTGACATAAATATTTTACAATATGTCAAGAGACATTAGATTTCTTTTAAGAAATTCTGCAACATTTTGACAGAATGAACCTTGACGTAACATAAAGCTACTTGGTATACATGACTAAGAGCTTACAAATAATCAATAGAACCCTAACCATACAGAAGTAAAAACTATACAAAAAGCAACAAACCAGACAGAGTTATATCCCCTTATATTACAATCTTATCAATAGGATTTACATTCTAAGATTAGATGGTCAGAATCTGGCTAAAATTTCTTTCCAATTAGGAGTTCTGTCAAATCATCAGGAAATTAGAGATGGTTGCAAAGAAAACAGATCACTTGAATTTGAATCATCAGAAAGTTAAAAAAAAAAATTGAACATGTTCAGATTAATTTCAAATTTTCATTTGATGTTCTCCTACTGAAAGAAGGAGAGGATGTGATTTTATTTCATGGAATGCAGGCAGTGCCAGCCCTCTTTAGATTTAAGAATTAGCTTTTCTTGCACCTCAGCAAGTGATTTCCACATGCAGAATTTTCCATTTAGTTTTGCTCTGTCAGGTACCTTTAAGTAACATTTAAAGCAAAATGCAGGCAATGATTAGTCGAAATGATATCTTTTAGCTACAACTTGTATTCTCGTTTTTGCAAGCTTACCATAGGGGTCTCCGGGATTACGGTACGAATCACTCCGACTTGGAGGATCAATCATGGGACCACCCCGGGACATGTCCGGTCTGTCCCCTACTGGTGATGGGGTTCGCCTACTATAGGGATCCTCATCACGATACCGAAGATCAGCCTGAGAGGCACGGTAACGCTCCTCTGCTGCCGCCATTGCAGCCTTCTGTTGGAATGGATCATCAGCAAAAGGGTCCTGTGGAACATCAGGAAGGCCGTCATGTTTGTTTGGGCTGTAGGGGTAATCATCATAATTACCAAATGTGGGCTCCCCCTCAAACCGGTCACCAGGAGGTAGATCCCTGTACCTGTCCTCCATAGGGGGTGGGGCCCCGTGGGGGTCATCTAGTGACATGTCTCTGAATCTATCATCTGGAGGTAAGTACTGATTGCCAGGGACAGGGGATTCCCTGTAACCACTCTCCGGCATATAATTATCACCTGGCGGACCTCTGTACCGGTCGTCCTCAAACGAGTTTTCCTTGTACCGGTCATCCATCTGTGGCGGAGCCCCGGTATAAGCACCTGTCTCGTACAGCGGGGGTTGATCCCCATAGGGGTCTATGGGGTTACGGTACGAGTCACTGCGACTTGGAGGATCAATCATGGGTCCACCCCGGGGCATATCCGGTCTGTCCCCTACTGGCGAGTCTCTGTAGAAAGAGTCGCCCCCACGGGTGTCTTCATAGTTTGGCTGGTCCCCATAAGGGTCCCTGCTAATAGGGTGGTGGTTATAGGGGCTGATGTCTTCAGGTGGGGGCTGATTGTAGCTCCCCCTACCTCCTGGAGGTCCCATGTCCCTACTGAACAGAACAAAACTTATTAAATTCGATATAAAAAAGCAGATGACAGATTCGACTTTTTACCTCAACTTTTATTGTTTAAAAAATATAAAAACATTTATTATGCTAACACATTAGAATCAAAAGAATTGAATGCCCAATATTTTTTTTAAGAAACATAAAAAGTTACCAAAATAGTAATAAAATGTCTGGATTGCAATCAAAATTTTGTGCTTATAGTGTAATTTTCTTTAAAATTGGTAAAATCATGAATAGAAATTAGATGCAAAAAAAAAAAAAAAGGAAAGAATATTATTGCATACAATAATTTAATAGAAAATGTTAAAATACCTGTTACAAAATATTTTATATCATGTACTTATTCCATATACCGGTATACATTGCCCACTATAACTAAAACACACATGCTATGATTCCCATGTCTAGTTTTATGGTTCAAAAAGCCTTGCTCTCACTACCATGTAAAACTCCCAAGTTCAATGTCTAAATATGGTTCAAAATCCTAGCTCCAATTCCAGTGTCTAACCCTGACCCAAGCCTGGCTATATGGTTTCAATGTCTAGCTCTGATTCCAATGTTTCTAACCATGATCCAAACCTAACTATGTTATTTCAATATCAAACTCTGATTCCCATGTGTAGCTTTCTTGTGTTAGCTAGGATTCACATGTCAGCTAGGATTCCCATGCCAGCTAGGATTCCCATGTCAAACTGCTATTTCCAAAGCTCTGATTGCAATGTTTAGCTGTAAACATTATTATTAGCTGAATTTGTATGTCTAGCTCTACAATTCCCATATCTAGCTACAAAAAGCCTAGTATTATTCTATGCCCTGCAATGATTCTTATAATAACTATCATTCTATAGTCTTAAAGCTATTGATCTCAATCCACAATCTAGCTATGGGATTCTAGAGTCTGTGATTCCCATGCTTTCATGCAAATCTGAAAACATATCTCACTCCATATTTCTAGGTAATCTCTCATTAACTTAAAAACAGGCCGACAAGTAAAAAACAGAAGGTGACCCAAACAATGCCATGCACACTGGGCCATCTGAAACACATATGTATACTATATTTTTGTAAGTTAAATTGGTTCAAACTATAAGTAAAACTTGTTAGTCTGGAAAATTTGTTTTACAATAAAATGGTGGGGAAAAAAGCAGAATAAAATAAATAAATAAGTATCACAAAATAAATGTACAATAAGATAAAAGTGTTATTTCAGGTAAAAATACTTTTCAGCGATGAGTGTGACGATGATGTAAACTCAAAGAACATACATACATACAATGTACAGTGATGGGCCAAGGGGAGACTACTCCTCACAACATTAATGTTATTTCTATAAAAAAAAGCCTGTGGGGGCTCAAGTCCTCAGAAAGTCATTACCTCAGAATTGTTCTAAATCCTGGAATAAGCCTGAATAAAATAAGCTAGCGTGCTGGTCTGGTATCTGTGCTCTTACCCCCGT